TGCAAATTGCAGTGTGTGCAGGTTCACACAGAAAGCTTTTGTGCAGCCCCCCCCTCTTCCATTTTCCCCGCCCCTTCCACCCTTTTCCACCGGATATAAAGTCAGGGCGGACGACAGCGGCCATGTTGGTCGTATTTAAAGTCTGACCATGTGCTCCGAGTGCGTACACCTTGGGCAAAGATAATAGCTTACGGCTTTATTTATTTAAATGGTTTTTCGAGTGGCTTAAAACCTGGCACATAGTGCGTGGCAAAAGAATATTTGCACTCTTTAACATCAGTTTATTTTCAAGAGCACTTTATTTACTTTGGGAAGCTGTGAGACTTTTAACAAACAAAAAAGTAAACATAAGTTTTATATTTTCATTGCTAAATTTCAGCAGTTTTCGTTATTTTATTTCAGGAAAATAGGAAAGGAGTGTTACTTATAAAAATAATATTTCAGAAAAAGTATTTTAACTTTTGTGAAATCATTTCTTTTTATAATTAAGAATAATATGTAAAGTAGTTTTCCATTAGCACGTAATTAAGTGCTCACTGTTTTCAGCGCTGCTGCTGTGACCGCAGCTGTAGGTGGGAATTGGGTGGCTTTCGGGTGGCTGAGTGGCTGGTCAATTCCTGAAACTGGACGCGGGTGGCAGGTGGCAGCTGGCTGGTGGCTGGTGGCTGGTGGCAGAGGAGCGGCAAAGGAACCGCGGGGGCAGGTGGCACGCCCCACGGGCCGGTGGCGTGTGCATTTTTTATGCACCCACATATTCACAGCTGTGGGGCAGGCTCGGTTCGCTTCGCTTCGGTTCGGTGTTTTTTTTCTCGGTGCAACAGAACCGCACCCTCAACCCCTGAACCTTCACCATCAGGTGTCGGAGCATGCAGAATTTTGTGGCTTTTGATTGGCTTTTTCGGGCGCTGGGAAAAAGTTATAAATGGAGTTTAGAGCTGGTCGAATAAAAGGGCGGGGACTTGTCTGCGGTCAGCTCATAAATACGTCAAGTGCGGTCGGTCCCTGCATTATGGATCAAATCCTTAAAGTAATTTTAGCATGCGAGGCGGGGAGAAAAGTACAAAAACAAAAAAAAACAAAAACAAAAAAACGGGAGCAGATGAGGTGGAGTCCCTCTACATTATTTGCTCACGAACTGCGGCAGTGCAATGGAAAAACACACGGCAAATGTAAATAAAATCGCTGGGAATACATTGTGGGAATGTGTGCCAAGCCGCAGATAGCAGGAGAAAGTAGGGAAAAGGGGGGAAAAAGAGGGGGTAAAAAGGGAGTTCCCCGAGAACTGAGGGGCTTCCCCACAGCAGTAAAAAGCAGCAGCGCCAACGGCAAATAAAAGCGTGCAAATAAAACTAAAGCAAGCAAAGGCAACTCGCGTTATTTACTAAATTTTGCATATAAAACAAAGCGAAACCGACGTGGAAGAGAAGACGGTGTCGAAACCATAAACAAAACCAAGTACAAATTGTTGAAATAACGCTGCTGGACTAAAAAAATGCTCTCAAATGAAGGTATAACAATTTTAATTTAAAATTGGGAAAAGAAAGAAAGAGTAAGAGATTTGCAAAAAGCAAAAGCGAAATATATGTAAAAGGATTTGTAGCTATTTTTAATAAAATATACTTAAAGAGCTAACAAGGCTTTGAAATAATACGATTTCAGCGAAGGGAAAACTAGGACTTGAAGGCATCTTTAGGTGCATTTTTAAGCGTACTTTGTGGCAAGATCTCTCGTTACCAAACAGCCAAAGAAGCCACAGCGGTTCGCAAATAAAATAGTATCTGGTGGAAAAACAAGGGGAACAATAAAAATTTACAACCAGCCAAAACAGGCAAAATAAGCAGTTACCAAGCCGAGAAGGAGCTGGGGAAAACCTCCGAGAGACAAAGGAAAGCAAGGGGAACTCAATAAATTGTCATGCAGTAAAATGAAGTCATGGGCGGGGAGGGGGGAAAAGGGGAAGGGGGTTGCGGAAGGAAGGGAACCACGCGCGACTTTGTTTCGGGCGATGAGAAATGGCCAGGGATTTTCCCCGGGCGAAAGAAAGGGGGTTTTGAATTGGGAAGGGAAGTTCTGGCGACGGGGCACGTAAAATGCCAAGAAAGTAGCAGAGTGCAAGTGGCATGCAGATACATGCTTATACATCCTGCCCCTATTCGGTGTCAGACCGAAAATCACATGTTCTGCTGTAGCGGGAAGGATGTGATTTAAGTTGCAGTGCAACAGCGAACGAGTACAACCGACAACCTACAACAAAAGCCACCAAATGAGGAGGTCCTGCCTAAGGAGCCGTGTGCCATGCGACATTTCGGCTTCTGCCGTGGCGGCCTGCTGAATTTTTCATGCCCGTCGCGCGGCATAAACTTACCTCGACCACTGTTTCTCGGGACTGTAAATTAAGGCGACTCTCGCTTTATTGGCTCTTGCTTCTGATGGCTTTTATTATGCTCCTGCATTGTGTGCCACAAACTGATGCTCTTAGCCACGAAACAGATTAGGCCTTGTTTTAGGATTTAGTTTTCTCGTAACTTAAAACTTAAAACAACTTAAAAATCTAAAAAAGAGTAACCAACTTTACTATAAATTTTAGATAAAATAGTATTTCCATAAGTTAACCATCAAGATTATCCAAGTTTAGTTGGTAACAAAGAGCATCCGAAAGTCCATCGTTTTGTGGCCTAATTTCTGTGGGTAGTGTCGCTGTTATTGCGGCTTCATTTGGCTTTCAGGTAAATGGTCTCTTAGCCTGGCTCTGCCTTTCGAGTGCATTAATCCTTTTTTATAGGCGGAAGCGAGATTGGCGCAAATTAAGTATACGTAGTGTGGGACCTGGTCAGAGGCCATTTCTTGACGCGGCGTTTACTTTGGCCAAATTGCATTAAAGTTGCATAAGTGCACACGGTTTTAATATTTAATTTAGCAAAAAGCTTTCCCAACACATTCGCATTCGCATTCGCAGGATCTGTCTCCTGGCTTCCCATCCGACTGTTTGTCTGACTGCCGGTCCTGCTGTCCTGCTGTCCTCTTCTTCTTCGTCCTTCTATTTGGTGTCCTGCACTTAGAGTTGCCCTGGCGATAACGCCGCTGACATCCACGCTTAATAATATCCCTTTTCGCGCTGGAAAAACAAAAGCGCAGCCTTGTCTCTGTGATTTTTGCCCCCTCCCCTCCCCATCCCTTCGCATGGCCATCCAACCACCGCGCTGCCAAGGGGAAAATGGAAAAGCGCAGCTCGCAAATGGAGATAAAAATTTGCGATGGCAAAGCCAAAGGAAGCGACAAAAAAATAAAGCTAGAAAAAACAACAGCAGCAGTGCAAGCGGCAAAGTGCAGCAAAAGTATTTACAAAGCGTTATCACGCTGTGACCCCCTGTCACCTCCCCCCCTCGTCCCCCTTCCCCCTTAACTCATGCTTTCTCTGCCCCTCGCGGCACGCCCCTTTGAACTTTGAACCCCGCCCCCTTTCGCCGCCCACTCAACACGTTCGCTTGTTTATTTTCGCCGCTGGCGTTCGCTTCTCTAATTTCTGATGCGCTGCACTTTTATATAGTTAAATAAAAAGGCGCTTAAGCAGGCGATAGAGTGTAATCATGGCCGAGAATGGATTTCAGATGTGGCCAGCGGGGAATCGGGAGCCAGAGATCTGGTGGAATTGAAAACTGCGCGGGCGAACGCCAAATTAAACGCGCATTCATCTCGCGTGGGAGTAATGCAATAAAAGGATTCCTTAAAAATGCCGAGAACTCACCGAAACAAATGCTTCCTCGAATTCGGTTTGATTTTAAGGCTCTTGAATCCAACAATAAGCCAGAAGCTTCGTTCGATCGGGGCTTAAAGGTCAGCGGTTTGTTTACATATTTATGAAACCAGTGTTTCGTTGCGAGGATTATCTGTAATCCAAAGGTAAAGTCTAGAGATTTACAGGTGATTACTGTGAAAAGAGTATAATTGCTCTTTGCACTTTGTAGTTATTAACATAAAAATGTATTAAAATATAATGAATGTTATTAATTATTTAGGTCAACTTGACCTCTTAAAGTTAAAGAGTCCCCGGAATATTTTAATCGCTTATCTTGTCCATCAATGCTGGGGAATTCGGTGGATCCTGTGGAATCCTTCGCTGCGGGAACGCTTCCTACTTTATCGCTCCATTCCGCGCTCCTCTAAATTCCGCAGCTCATCTCCTATTCCATTTGCGCAAGCTTTACGAGCTGCTGCTCAAATTTAAAGCTCATCAAGGGAGCTGGCTGGGAGCTGGATGGGAATGGAAATGGGATGGTTGTCGAAATAGTTTCGCATTTTATAACTCACTTAAAGGCGCCGCCAGGCAGCAGGCCAATTAAAATGGGCAGACGAGCTGATTAACCTTGGCAGCTGCCGCCCACCCATGCCACGCCCCCACCTTCACACATACAGAGACTCACACACTTATATATATATATATATATATATATGTGTGTATATTTAAAGTGAAGCCCAAGTGACCGTCGCCAGGTCACGTCGTCGTCTTTCGCTGTTGTTGCAATGGTAATTGTGCGAGTGCAGCAATGACGTCAGCACACATACACTCGAAGAAAAACTAAGTAGGGGGAGGTGGTGTCGGTGGACGGCCACGCCCCTGCCCAGTGGTGGGCGGGCAAACTGAGTTGCCACGGTAATTGTGTGCGCTGCTCCACGCTTCGGTTGGCAATATTGTTATGACCAAAAAACCAGGTCACAAAGGATCCAGCGCCCCCCCTTCCCCGACGCCACTGTCTTGGCCTCAGCTTTCAGCGCGAACGCGCGCATATTTTATTTGATTTATTTATACAAGAAATGCAAAAAAATAAAAAAACGAAAACGAAAAATACGTCATAATTTAGTAAAATGTTTAGCAAAGTACGCGAGGCGAAGAGCGAAATTCTAGAGGCGAAAATCCCTGCTGGCAGTTGGGGATTTCTCAGCTTCAACTCTTGCGCTATTTTGCATTTAATATTTATGCCACTTTTCCCTCTGTTTTGCAGGCATGCATCGGGCTCTCCGGCCTCAGCTCAGCTGCTCAACTTGTCGACTTTCGGCCCAAACCGCTGACCAGGCCAGGACCAGAACCAGGAGCTCCCCGGATCCCCGGATCCAGGACGAAACAGAACAGAACGGGACACGGTCGGGCCAGTCCTCAGCCATGGCTGCTGAATAATTAATGCAGTTTCGGTAAGTGCATTTGAGAAATACGTTCCCTTTTTGCAGTTTTCGGTTTTCAGCTCACAGTTCTCAGTTCTTCGTTCTCAGTTCGCCTCAGTTCAGCTTGGCCAAGTCAAAATGCAGGGCGCCTCATTTAAATGCGCACTGAGAAACTCGAGTATTCTATAATGCCTATTAGTCTGAATAAGAGTTGGAGAGGAAAAAGTCAGTGCGAAAATGTATGGCATTAAATTATGTGCAACCAGGCCTAGTGCAATTTCAATTTGGACTGCGTGTTAAGTCCCCCACAATCCAAAATCGAATTCTATTATTCCATTTCAAAAGAGCTTTAAATTCATTTTGGTTTTGACCACTACATTTTGTTGTTCTCTGCCAGAAATACATTTTCCTAAAATAATTACCATGCGGAAGTTGCATTTCCCGAGCTTGTTGAAAATGCTAAACTAAATTCAAATTCTTTTCAGTTATTTCATGTGTTTAAGAACTTTAATAGACATTTTCTAAAATTTTTAATATTAAATAAAAGGATAAAAGTATAAAATTAACAATCTTAATTTTAGGCATTCCTTTTTATAGAGTGTTTTTTCCAAGTGCAGGCTAGGGAATCCCCTCCCACTCTCCCCATATTCTCCTTTTGCCAAACTAAGCTTGACAAATGAAGTGTTCACTGCTCACAGCCTTCGAGGGGGCGTGGCCCATTGTCGCTCAGGACGGGGCTCATGCATAAACCAATATGCGACATAGCTTCGCTTCTTCACTTCAGTTCAGTTCAGTTCAGTTCGGTTCAGTTCGCTTAGCGCTTCGCTTTTTCTTTAGCTGCGTTCACGCGCCGGAAGCGGAAATTGTCCAGCAACAATGGCAACAAAATGGCCATGGCCAAAAGAACGGCCACCCACAGCAAATGGCTTGTAAGCGGTGGAGAGAGACAGGGAGAAAGAGGGAGAGGGAGATAGTGGACAGGCGGCTTGGAAAATTGTCCACTATTTTCGCACATTTGCAGAGCTCATGGGGAGTGGGAAAAGGAGGTGGAGGAGGGGGAGGTAAATGACGGTATATCTTTTTTGGGTCACCCTCGAACCTAACTCAATGTAGTTTAGAGGTTGGTAATGACTGGGGGAGGGTCTGGTTTAAAGGTTTCCGTTTTGATGTTCCTGAAATGTAAATATCCGAGGCATTAGAAGGGCTTCTCTTATTACAGAACCAGCTGAACTCAGATCTATTTATACAACTGAATTCTCGTTTTGATTCTATCGTTAGTTGCGAAGTCGGTCTTAAAACTCTTTCATGTTTCTTATTCTTTGTAATTGGGGTAAAAAGATAATAAATTAGCTTCCCTTTGTCAAATATTTGGGTAATTCACTACCTTCTTTCATTTTTTACATTTTTTAGCCAGCGATTTTTTTCGCTTATGAGCATCACATCCTTTTCATGAAGCTCACCAAGCTTATCTCGTGTTATCCTCTTCTTTGGGAAATACCTTACCAATTTGGAGGTCCTTCTCCATCTATTTTTTCCTACCGCCAAGGATCTCAGAAAATCGCCGAGTTCGTCATCTACTTCGCTTTCCCGTTTCCCGTTTCCCTTTTCCCTTTTCCCACCCAGATCTGCGTTATTTATGCCCTGATGCTGTTGCTGGGTTTATCTTAATGCTGTCCTGATACAACGTTTTCATCGTTGTCGTCGCTCATCGTAGTTGTTGTTGTGTTTACACGCTTATTGCTGAGTGCACTGAAAAAAAATTAAATGAAACATAAACTTGTTTTCCTTTAAATTAAATTCAGATTTATATCAAATCTGATTGGGTTGAAAACCAAATACATATTAGTTATTGATTTTTATTAAACTTTATATATTTATGTTTATAAAAAATTGTTATACAAAAATGTGTACCTAATTTTTGTCTGTGTTTGTGCACTGCTTATCCTTATCCACAACATTGCCATGTCCTTCTCCTTCGCCTTGCCTTTGCCACGCTGTCCGTCGTTTGTTTTGTCATTCAATTCAATGAGGCTAATGTCCGTTGAGGCCCCTGCCCCGCCCCCCTCTCCCCCTCGCCGTACGCCCCTGTTCTCGGTTTGGTGGCTCTTCTCCGTCCATTGCTTCATGCTGTTGTTGAAGTGCCATTAAGTTTAGTTGTCACTTAGCCTCTTTGCTTTTATATGCCGTTCTCCTTCTCCTTCTCCTTCTCCTTGTTCTTCTTCTTCTTTTGCTGTGTCCTGTCTCCTGTCCGTTTGTCGGTTGTCGTCTGCCGACCGTTGTTGTTATCCTTTTGGCTTGAACGTCTTAAGCGCCTAATGCCAGGGCCATAAAAAGTCCAACTAATGCTTTAAAGTGTGCCACACACACAAAGATAGAACGTAAGGGAGACGTTGGGGTGAAAGAGACAGAGGTAGTTACACCGAAAGAAATTACCCCAGTGATTGACCAACCAAACTTAATTATACGGAAAAAGATTTGAGATATTATAATCGTTTCATCAAATCAATAAATATATAAAATGATTCCAATAACTATTTCAATGAAAAAGAGGATCTTGCAACAATGCGATAAAAAATCATTTTTATTGGCTTATTTTTTCTCGGTGCATCGATTTCAGCTCTTGGCTGCAGGACAGCTAAAATGCCAACTCTTGCTTCGGTTCGCAGGACCTCTCTTATCTGGCCGGCTTTATCGATCGTTTTGCGTGTTGTCTTTTGGCTGTTTGATTTTCGGCGAGTCCATCCTTCCCTTTGCCACTTGTGTTTTTATTTTTATTTTGATTTTTATTCGCTTCGCTTTTCGCTTGTCGGCCTGAAAATTGCGTGTTAATTTTCACACAAACGGAGACAGTCGCATTTTCCACGTATTCTGTTTGTGCTTTGCGGTTTTCCCAGTCGAAACGTTCGTGTTTGAGCCGGCTTTCGCTCAAATATTTGCATTTTTATTGTCTCCCTTGGCTTCATTAGCCGCTTTGTCTGTGGACACACAGCTTGCTGTGTCGCATTTTGTATCCCTCTGCGTATCCTTTGGCGTATTGTGGCCAAAAGTTCATCTAAATTAAGTGCAAGCCATTTTCAATTAACTTTCGACGAATTCAACTTGCCCAAAACTTCCAGCCAAAAATGCAAAAACTTTTGCAGCAACTTTTCCGGCACTTTTTTCCTTTCCGCTGCCGATGAATTTTCATTACGCTGCATATTTGTTCTCCTTGCCAGTTTTTCTTCGTGTTTTTTTTTTTTTTTTTTTTTTTTTTTTTGTTCTTGGCTTGCATGTAAACAAGCCGCGCCAATTTGTTGCCCTCTAACAAAAGCAGGGAGAAAAATTTTCGACTTCAAAACTTGTCAAATTCTGCAGAAACAACAAAACCGATTCTGAGTGGCAGGACATGGGGGGTGGAATAATTTAGAGGGCAAGTGGAATACATTTTGCCCTTTAATGGTAGGAAGAAGTGCATTAAAAATGCAGATACAATGCCCCGAAAAATGCCTGACAGGCCAGAAAGGGGAAAATCGGGCGGCGAGATGGGGGAAATGGCTTTGAGGGCGGTTCTCTGTGTGCTTGTGCAAATTTCAAGTTGTCAATTTATGATTATGGCACCTCATGAAGCGAGGCAAAATGTAAATTATACGCCAGCGTCGCTGCGAAATGAAAACTCAAGCGAATAACAAGCCAAATTGCATGTGCGATGTACCGACTGGTGCAAAAAAAAAAAAAAATGGGAAAAAAATTCGTATAAGAGAGTTAGCCGGCAGACTTAAAGTTGGCTGGTTACATTTAACGCTTTTTAACGCCGAATCGACTGCACTCACTCAATACACTTACGAATTCACTCGCTGCGGAGTCGTTGTTATGTAAATGAGAATCGCGATTTTCCACCTGCCCATTTCACTCTATCGACAGGCAGCGCAGGTGCAATCAAATATTACGTATACGCCGCGTTGTGCACAATAGTTAGCAATAAAGTTGGCAGGGCAGAAGGAGCCGGCTGAAGGGCAGCCGAGGCAGTGACTTGGCTAGCAAACTGTCAATTTGGTCGTTGTTGTTGCCTTTATTGCTCCTTACCTTATAACAACGTTAAGGGGAACGAGAATATTGAATTACTCGAAATGTGTGGAAAATGAGCGGAAAGAAATGGCATTACAAGGGCCAACGGGACTCCATTGAAAGTTGCGGAAACTTGAGCTTTAAAATGCAATCATTGATGTGGGGTTTTTGTATCCTTTAAAGAGGATTCCTGTAAATAAGAAACAGTCTTTTAATTAAGAGTTGTTTTGTTGTGACATGGTTAAAGATATGGATTTTTTGGATATTATAATCATAATCCATAATTCTGATTGGTTATTCTTTTATCACCACAAACTTTAAGAAAACTTTTCAATAACATTGAAGGAAAAGTAATGTTCACTTATACATCTTTTTGAATCTTTTCTGTTTTGGCAAGGTTCCAATTTCTTCATAACTTTTAATACATGATGCATTATATTTGGATGAAAAAAAGAAAGAAAAAGGAGGAAGCCCGAAAATTCTTCAGGAGTATTTCATTCCAATTCCCGTCCTCACTTTTAACAGAGCTCATAGGATTTGGGCTCTCAATCCTTTTTGTGCAGCAAATAGGTATTGTACTTTTGGTGTGGAAAGCGAGAGGAGCCCGTACCGTATGCACTCGTTTGCGTGGAAAGCTCTCCCGCCTGCAATGCTCATGTGTGAGGGGCATAAAATTTGATTGAGATTGAAAGGTGTAGCCTACTTTCAGGCGCAAATAAATGCATGTAATCAAGCGAAATGGCAGTGGGGCAAATGAGATCGTCGGCAGGGGCGTGGAAATAGGAAAAAGGGGTCATTGCATTTGAATTTGCATTTGCAAATAACGCCCCTTGGACAATAATTGAAATTTGATTTGATTAGTCTCGATACTGCGGTTGTTGTTGATGTGGCTGCCTCTGTAATTTCAGTTGTGTCTGGCATTTCGTTAAATGGAAATGTCAAATTAATTTAATTGTATTTTTGCTGCCGCGCTTAAACGCGACGCC